TTTTGCTGCGCACTAGACTTGAAAATTGCACTATATACTCTGGTTGACAGCGTTTGGGCTGTGAATGAGTCTTCTGCTATCGGTATCGCCCGATTGCAACGTTCTTACTTGTTTATTCTTAAAACTGAAGTTCAGGCTCAAATTTCCACAAATTCAAGTTTGTGCGTAACTGTGCACGATTATATCAAAACAAGCGAATTTGTTTTCAAATTCTACTCAAAGATTTACGACTGCGATGAATTATCAACGAGTCCTATAGTCTTGAGAGAACAATTACATTTCATGCGATAGTAAGAGTTGTTACTTTGCAAATATAATATTTATTGGGCAATATATAGTTCGCACCATTTAGGAATATTTTGTTACATTATTAATATATGTATGTACATGCAACTATTACGAGGGCTATCTGATCTTTTCTATTTTCTGTTTGCAATCAGTAGGTGCTGTCTGATCGCCAATCGCTTCATCAGCATCAACATCAGTAAATTATATTTGCTCTACACGTGTGAGAGGAGTTTCAGCTCTGTGGCTGACTGCGTTGACCATGTTTACAGCGTGCTTGTGACCGTGTTTGCTCGCTCGGCTGGTTTGTTCACTTTTCCGCTGATTTATGCAAACTGTGGAATTTTCAATTGCGTTCTCACTCGTCCTACAGGACTTGTGTTGCCTGTTCTGCAGTTTGTTGCCTTCGCCTGCGTTGGCCTTGTTTGGGCAAATGTTGCTTCCAAATGTGCAACACATTGCCACGTTTATTGTGGTTGCTGCTTTAGCTGTTCGTACTCTTCTTTTGTTGTTAGCTCATGCGGCTTGACTCTTTTTAGGTAGCTTGGCGGGGGGACGGACAGCAGAGAACAGGACAAACATCTGTAGTAGTTGCCCTCTCGAATCGCTAACTGCATTTTATTATCGCACATGTGTTCGTCTGCTTATGCTTATGTGTTGGATTAATGGATATGCGTACGGTGCCATGTCCCGTTATGAACATTTAACACCAAGCGATTTTTAGTTGCAGTTGGGTCCGATATTTCCTTAAAAATATTAAGATTGGTCTCAAGATTTATTCAATAGGACAAACGAGAGTGAAGGTATTATAAACTCTCCTAGTGAAATGGAGAAAGTAAGATAAAACCTCGGCACTGTCCTCTACTTTTATTCAACAGTAAATAAGTTAACGATGGAATGTTCGGGACTCATTCAATGGCCAACCAAAACATTTCTCAAACACTTTGTTGTAGCTGATGCTTGTCAGACGATATTTTCGATTCAGAATCAAAAATTTGACTCCGTAACACAAGGATATTCGAAAAATGCTGTAGCCCCCCTTAGGTTAAAAAGTATGAATGTGGATAGTCTCTAGGTAAGGTATCATCCAAAGGAATGGGCGTTAATTAAATGCCTTCTGTTTATAGTTTGTTAGGCAACAAGAAAGCTCTCAATAACAGCTATTACCACAATAATTAGCCAATGAAGCGTGCCTTAATGAGAAGGCGTGCATGTAAAAATAGGTGAAAACTTTTACCAATGTCTAAACGAAACTTGGCTGAGCAATTAAATATGAGCGTATAAAAGGAGTCTAGCTGACATTTGAGTCTCTGTCTTAGTTAGTTATATAGTGATAATAAATATTTGAGAGAACAATGCTTAACAGTCATGATTCAGCCATTGGACAAAGCTTCTATAAGATACCACGTTTTTCTGGGCGAATAGTGGGCATCTGGCCAGAGTATAAACGCAGCTGGGCTACGAATCTGATCTGCGCCTTTAGCTTTTTTGTCATCTTGGTCGGTGCTTGTGGCGAGAATCTCTATGGCATTGCAAACTTGGATAATTTGATAAGAGCGTTGGAAGCGTTCTGCCCCGGCAGCACCAAAGCCGTTTGTGTGCTCAAATTGTCCATATTCGTAATCCATCATCGCGAGTGGCTCGAACTGGTCGACCGATTGCGCGTTATATTGTACAGCAGCAGGAGCTACGAGGCTCAGAAGACGCTAGTTAGTAAATCCACAATAGCGAACCGTCTAAGTCTGCTGTTGGTTTCCTCCGGCTCGATAACCAACATGGCCTTCAATATTCAGCCCTTGATAATGGGCCTTTATCGCTGGGCTTACGGAATACCGGGTCAACTGGATCTACCCTTCAATATAATGTAAGTGATCATTTTATATGCTATTTGTGTTTTGCAACGCCCTAAAAAATTTACTATTTCACTGCTCCAATCCGATTTCCATGCAGCTATTGCTTACGTTATACTTACTTGTATTTTCGTGGGAAAGAACTTTAACGCTCCTTTTGAAGGCTGTAATTTACCAAACGAAATTGAATCAGAAAGCAATATTATGTGCTCCATCAATTGACAGTGTAACATTCTTAATTACTACTATGATTGCTGTGGCTTCGCTATGTTCGTTTATATATATTATATAATTTAGGAAATAAAATGAAAATAAGACTACATTTGGTGAATTGGAGAAAGTTATTAAATTAGTGCATTAAGTACTATACATTTGATGAATTGGGCAATGATATTACAATTTTAATTTGAAGAGCTAGCAATGCTGGTTAGGTAGTTTAAGCCCAACTTATGTCAACTTGTGATGAATCTGCGCATATATTTATATGTACACATATACATTATACGTCTGTCTGTACGAATTCAATTTTCATCTACATTGAGCCCCGTAAAACCTAAGAGACAACATATTCAACACTTTAATTAATTTGATAAGCATATTTAACATCACATCAACTAAAATTTCACATGTTCTATCAAATGACGAACTCTTTATTATATCTGCTCATCTCGTTTTGGAAACCATCATACATATGATACATAAATTTACAATTAGCAACAAAATAACAAATATTTACAATTATAGACTACCTGCATTTGCGACGACGCCATCCGTCTTTCCTCTCACCTATTTGTTGCTTACGGCTTCTGGGGCTTGCACCGTGTTCACCTTCAGCTTTGTTGATGGATTCTTTCTGTGCAGCTGCTTGTACATCAGCGGAATATTTCGTGTAATACAAATGGATATTCGTTCCATTTTCTTTCCGTTAGATGAGTGTAAGTGAAATATTCATGTTCAACTTATGATTTTAATTGAATAATACTTTTCAATGTATAGTGGAGATATACACGCCTTCAGAAAACGACCAAATACGGACTCAGCTTGTCAGGATTGTCGAGCGTCATAATGTGATTATCGATTTGTGCACAGATCTCACCAGGCAGTTTACCGTTATAGTGCTGATGCACTTCCTCTCCGCTGCTTTCGTCCTCTGCTCAACTATTTTGGATATTATGTTGGTGAGCTCACAAAGTACATGTATTCTCTCTAAAATCGTCTCTACAATCAGTCTGAAATAAAAATATATTATTAAAGTGAAAATACAAACTATTTTTGTAACAAACATAAATAAAAGGAATAGAATGAATTCTTTATATCCAAAATGAAAATTCAATATTGACTATATTCGTTATTCGAAGTGCTGTCCCTCCATTTGTCCATAAATGCGCCCATATATCAAATTTGAAATATACCATTGTGTCGAACTGCAAAAACTTAAAGCGAAATCTCTTGTTACCATCTAATCACTGCTCTTATTGTTCTTACTCTTTACTTTATATACACGCGGGACTCACTGGTAGAACACTTCCTCGTTAAGCGGCCTAACCTATATATTTTACAGCGTTGCAGCCCTGACTCAACTCTTCCTGTATTGCTTCGGCAGCAATCATGTCAGCGAAAGTGTAATTCATAAATTAAATATATATGTATGTGTGTAGACACTGTTTAACAGCACAACTAAGCAACGCTTACAGTTACGATAAATTAATGCGCTTATCNACACACACATACACAAACACATACACACACAAGCACCCACGCATAAACACGCATGGGCTGCAGTGTGCGCTTACTATGAGAACTTAATTGTTTAATAACTTTTTTTATGGACGTACGATCTTCATGAAACTTTCAGATTATGATTATAACATGAATATGCATGTAATTGCCAAAGCACAAGTCTCTAGTATTTGAAATACGCTTTTTACAAAAGTGAGGGTGAGGGGGTGAATTTAAGGGTGGGGGGTAAATTTTAACAAAAACCGAAATTGTATAAATTGCATATAAGCATACATTAAAAATTTGGAGACTCTAGCAATAAAGGTGTAGAAGATATAATTTTATAACTGGTTTTCGATAAGGTTTTTTATCGATAAAAAAAGATCGGGATGAGTTATCGATTTTTAATGATAAACTTGATATGCGCGCTGTAATTACGGACATTTTAAAAAAAATTTGAAGTCTCTAGCTCTTATATCTTCTGAAATCGACGCGTTCATACATACGGACGGACGGACGGACGGACGGACGGACGGACGGACGGACGGACGGACGGACAGACAGACGGACAGGGCCAAATCGACTCAGCTCGTCGCCCTGATCAAGAATATATATACTTTGTGGGGTCTGCCACGCCTCCTTCTGCCTGTTACATACTTTTAACAAAACCATTATACCCTGATTTCCCATTTTCAATGGGTTCAGGGTATAAAAACGCTGATCTCTTGATGACTTTTCCCACCTAAATTTGTATCAAAGACTTAACTTACTTTTAGTAAGATGAATAAAGGAACTGCTGCTCAGCTTACCGATTCCTATTTCCCTATTTCTTATAGAGCTTAGCCGTGGCTGGGACGTTGTACGACATTGGATGGTATAAATGCGATGTGGCGACTAGAAAAATGATTTTAATGATCTTGCGAAGGTCGCAGAGGGCAAAATCCATTGAGGTGCCGTTCTTTACCCCTTCGTTGCCCGCCTTCAGCTCGGTACGATTTATATATTTCTTAATACAAACATCTTTGATTTTTAAATGTTTTAATTGCAGATACTTAGCACAACCGGCTCATATATAGCGCTATTGAAAACGTTTCTGTGAGCCGATGGTCCGTATGATTCGTTTGTGGACGAGTAGGAGACACCACTATGATGCCCATTTTTCACAGAGAGTGGTTTCCTCCAATGAAGGATGAACTGTTATATAAACTGAAAATATATTCCACAATTAGAATAACATATTTTTTTCCTCACATATATTCAAATACTACACGCATTGTTTTGTCAATATGAGGAATCGAAATTGTGATTGAAATCTAAATTATAAACGCCTTCTTTAGCTCTCATAATAAAAATTTCTCGCTTCAGCAATGAAGTGCCCGTGTTGATAAAGGCGATCTGTATGCTAAAATTATTCTAAAATATATATATGTGATCATTTGATTAAATGAATATATACATATATATAATGAATATATTAATACAATATATAAGCATTAAAGCACCTAAGCTTAAATCTGCACAAAATGCAAATAAAGCCGACCATTATGGATATTCAGCGTGCACGGTCTTTGTATTGAGTTAGTAATTCTATACGCCTTCTCCAATCTAAAAAAAAAACTCTAAATTTATGTATACTAATATATCAATATTATTTATAGACTTTTTATGAAGATACCTACACAAAAAACGTCGCTGGAGACTATTTGTTATCTTATGAGAAAGCGGATGTCAACAGACCGCAAATTGTCCAAAATCTTATTTTATAATGTTGGTTTACCAGTTCTGAATGGTGATTATCTGGGAAACTGGTAGATCGTATTACAATTAATTATAATAATACCTAAAATCGTAATGGGAGAAAGGACATTTCAGCAATTTTCAACATGAATTAAGGTTAGCCCTGCCCAATTCACATTTAAAGTAATTATAAATCCTTTGCGGAAGACAACAACGGTCACATACATTTACTTTATGTATTTAATTAAATTCAACGCATAAGCCAGCAGTTGATGAAGATGAGAAGATTAAAACACCTCAAGCAATCCACAGTTGCTAGCGAGTTGCTCATACGCTGGGCCTCGTATGCAGATAACGTCATTAAGAACGCTGTCAACACCTAACGAAAAGAAGGGAGTGGCTGTTGGCCTGTAGAAAATAGCTGTTGATGAGGAAAATCGAGTTGTTTCATTACCATGCATTAAAATGCACATTGTGGCAGGTAAATTTCATTTCTTAAACAGCTCCAACTCGAAAGATCGCTTCTGAAAACAACAAGGCGTTCACGCTCTAGTATTCTTGCTTGTCAATCGACATATAAAAGCTGAGGGCACATCTTGTGCATCTTGAGATCGAGTGTACACAGTTTTTTTTTTTTTTTTAACTCAGAGTAAACCATCTTTTCTACTAATCGATCATGTAGACGAATCAGTTATTTTTGAAAATTATTAAATTAAAAATTAAACAAGTAAGAAAGCTATAGTCGAGACTGCTCGACTACGAAATCCTTTGAACCTTTCTAAGAATTTATACAGGTATCCCCCGTATAACGCCATAGTTACGTTCCAGAAGAATTGCGCGTTATGTAAATCCGCGTTATCTAAAATATAGTTTTCATATAAATTTGGGGGTTAGGTTCCAATAGCTTATTTTTTCATTAAAATACATAACATAAAATAATAATAAAATACATAGCATTACATAATAACAGATGCACAAATATTTCAACTAAAATCAAGATATGAATAATAATACATATGTACATACATTTGTATATATTTCAAAATTCAAAAACTAAAATTTAAATAATTATGTGCACATTAAAAAAATTAAAAACAAACTAAAACAAATTAAAGGTTTATTAAAAACTTTATTGTTATTCTTCAAACTTCATATGGTAATTAATGTGTTTCACTGTCTTCAAAGATCTTTGCACGTTATAATTATGTATTTTCCCCTTCGCGTTATAATATAAGTCTAAATTTCGCGTTGTACTGAAATCGCGTTATATAAGACCGCGTTATACGAGGGATACCTGTAGGTCTATAATTATTCGCGTCTTTCTGCTTTCATAAGAAACACATAGGCATGCACGTATAAACACGCATGGAYTGCAGTGTGGACTTACTATGGAAACTTAATTGTTTAATAACTTTTCTTGTCAATTGACTATCTCTATGATGTCCATAACATCGAAGCACAAATCTCTAGTATTTGAAATACGCCTTTTACAAATATGTGGGTGTGGGGGTGGATATAGAGGTGGGGGTTAAATTACAACAAAAATCTAAATTATATAAAATACATATATGTCTACATTTAAAGTTTAGAGACAGTCGCTCTAAAGTTGTTGGAGATATAATTAAATAGCTAGTTTTCGATAAGGGGGCTAATCGATTACAAAATATCGGGATTAGGTATCGATATTTAGAGCAAAACTTGATAGGCGCGTGGTACACACGGACCTAGGAAAAAAAATATCAGTTTCTAGCTCTTATATCTTCTGAAATCGACCTCAGGACAGACAGACAGACGGGCGGACGGACACACGGACAGAGCTAAATCGATTCAGCTCGTCGCCCTGATTAAGAATACATATACTTTCTGGGGTCTGCCACGCCTATAAAAAAAATTATTATTATTGACAAGCTACGAACGATATTTTCACAGTAAGAATAAGAGTGCTGAGACTGTCTCAACGATAAGTTCAAGTTGATTCGATTTAAATCGATTAGGAGAAAATCGAATCAAAACAATTATTTTATCTAATCGAAAATTTAAAACAATTAAGTTAACTCAGTTCCCACTTAGATTTGACATCCAAATTTTATTTGATGCACATTTGAGAACAGGTACACAAGCTCATACACACACGCACACATACATGTATCACTTCAGTGGTTCGTTACATGTTTGCTTTCTATGCTTTATGAAAAACCATATCCTCATTCAAAAGGCAAGACTTTGCTCTTTACACAGTTCTTTCGCTTTTATTGCATGTTTTATGGAGATTTTCAAACATTATACGCACTTTACACATCAAACGCAACCACTCCAAAGCGCGCAGACATACACACACGCTCGAGCCTCGCTTCTGTCTCTCTCTCTTCTACACAAGCTTCCGTCTCAGAGAGAGAGAGAGAGAGAGAGAGAGAGAGTTTTTACTCGCTCTTTCCCTGGCGGGACATCCTGCAAAGCAATTCGACTGCCCAGCGCACCTAAGCATAAGCATATATACGTTTGTCTAGCTGTCTGTCTGTCGG